TTTCTGTTGTTCCCCTCTGAGAGGAGGTTTCAAAGTATTTCTAGCAGGACTACCAGAAGCTTTGTTCCCTATGCCATCCATCTGGTAAACTCACAAGATTTATTTTTCTCTCCATATACATGTATACATCCAAACTAGACTGTGTTGTTTCTCTGTGTCATATAATATACGTGGGTATATGCATATTTTTTTTATTTTTTTTGTCCTGTTTATGTAATATATATTGGAGATGGTGACCTTTTGAGAGTTGTATGCAATGAAATTTCATTTTAATGTATGCCAATTAGTGTACATTTAAAGTGACAATAAAGTTATTTTAAGTCTTCTAAATCTAAGTCTTGGCAGAGATCTAATAGAACACATTTTAAGATTACAGCATCCATTGCAAATGAAAGCATTTGCACTTGATAATCCACTGATAGTTCATAGAGAGAATCACTTTATATATCCACAGGAGTAGCCAGGATTTCTTCTTCAAATTTTTTGAGATTACTTGCAACATTTAGAGGATTTGGTGTTGAACTACTTGTCTAAATAACAGCCAACCTAGAGATTTCATCTTTTTTCAATTGCATAAGCAATGGTTTTCTTCAGTGGATACTGGACTCAAATTATCTAAATGCAACTTTTATCTGTTTCTGATAAAACAGATTTAAAATAAGTAAAGTTTGCTTTAATGTGAAAATATATGAAAAATAATATTTATCTGACTATCCCAAAGGTGCTTTTTCAAGAGTTTCTGGTTTTTCTTTGAAGACATTTCACTTCTTGGATGAGAAGTAAAATGTCTTCAAAGAAAAACAAGAAAGTCCAGTTGCCTCTTGAAAAAGCACCTTTGGGACAACCATGACCTGGATGATTTAGAATCTCCATAGACATTTATCTGACTAGTATTATTTATCTCTCCCTACCCATTTCTTCATTATCATTCATTAAATCATTCACCGCAACACAAATATGCGTGTTCTCTTCATTTGTTTGCAGAGTAAGTACCTAAATGTTTTCCCCCTTTATTTCTTGTAAGATGTATAGCCAGACAGACAGACATATTTGTGTACAAATATGTACCCAATTGTGTATTTTAATCATAGCAACTAATCTTTCAAGTCACAAGGTGCTGAATCAATGGAATTAATAGTTAAGAAGTACTGGATTAAGGGGCCCTGAAATTAAGATCAAGTTTAGCAAGCAGAAACTTCAAATTAGAGGTCATAGTTAGACAAAAACGAGGCTCCATCTGTGAAACTTGTGTCTGTCAGAAGCATCTCGTGCAAGGCTAGTAACTTAACAGGGTTTGAGAAGGAATGTAGCAAGATTGTCTACAGCAAACGGAGGCTGAGTAGAATAGTCCAAGGCACCTCTTATTGGATTAAATAATTATCCAAGATTTTGTGGGATCTCTTTAGCTGCTTTTTTTTTTACATTCCAATTTTCAGCATCTAAACCAGGGGTTCCCAACCTGGGGTGCTCGCATCCCCTGGGGGTGCGAGACGATATTCCAGGGGGTGCGAGAAAAGTCCAGGTAAATAATAGGATATTGGCTATATGTTGGCATTTTTATTTATTATGCAATGGATTAACTTTGTTTTCATTTTATAGTTAAGTATCATTATTTAGTGGCCGTCACATACATAGCTGAAAAGATTCAATCCTACCATATATTTAACACATTCAGTAGTTCCTAAAGTCTAAATTTCAGGGGGTGCGAGGTTCGAGTGAAATTTCTTTAGGGGTGCGGGGCGAAAAAAAGGTTGGGAACCACTGATCTAAACATATGCAGTGCTCTGCCTGTTAATCATCTTCCCTTATTATCTGCTTTGGATTTACTTCATCTCATTCTACAGTCTTTAGACTTGTTTTTATAATTTTGCTAAATCCTTTATATGGGTCACAGTTTTAACATATATTGTTAAGAACAGGAAATGCATCACACTGAATCAGATACAACATTGTTGGTGTTCTTTTCCCCCATTGGAAGCATAGGAAAGCATTTTACTTTTGACTTTAAAGTTTAAGAACAGAGAATAGAAAATGTACGAGAATAGAAAATATAAGATTAAAACTAACACATTTAGCTGGGAATAAAAAAACACTGTACTTAATTGGATTAGATCTGAGAAGATCAGCAGAAGACTGCCCTAAAAGGATCCAGTTCTATAATTATATAGCCAACAGTAAGCTTAAATGAATATAAAGAGTCTTATAAAGAAATACATTTAATATTGCACTCTAAGCCTGCAAGTCTATAATTTTATGTTTTATACATAAAATTATACATATATTCTATACATACATGTGTAGAGGTGTATAGAAATATATTACTAGTACCCTATGACTATCATTAAGTGTTGTAGCTTATGATTCTTGACAAATGTATCCTTTCTTCTTATGTACACTGAGAGCATATGCACCAAAGACAAATTCCACGCATGTCCAATCACACTTGGCCAATAAATAATTCTATTCTATTCTATTTCTAATTCTTGAGAAGGCCTACTGAGCTCACAGGACTTACTTTTGCATAGGAATATACAGGATTACACTGAAAATATTACTTTGCTGATTTAATATTTATGTTTGTAAAGCCTTTGCCCTTAAAAGGATAAATAAAAAATATATGGCCAGAAGCAAATGTGGGATTTCTGAGTCTTGATATAAGCTGTTCATTTCAGATATTACTTTGAGAATGATTTTCATTTCTGCAATGATAGAAAGTTGGATAGCTACAGTTCTAAAAGGAAGTAAAGTCAACACGCAGTTCCATACATTAATCCATTCAACAGTACACACAATTACAGCATCTAAATTTTAAGTGTTCCAGTCCACATTTCAATCCCTGAATCAAAATAAACTTAGATCCATCTGCCTGAGAAGAATTCATCTGCAGATTGCAGTCTTAGCTAAAACTATACATACACAAAGAGAAAACAATTTAATGCATGTGATTCATCTGTTCCTTACATTTTAGTTAATTTTATACACAAATATCTTAAAAGCTGCTAAAATAATAAATAATATAAACATATTCCATTTAATGAACATTTGCAAACTAGAATTTCAAAGGAAAAAAATTGTATAATATTTTTGGATATCAGTGATTTTTTTTCTGAATAAAGTATAGCAGATTTTTAAAATCCTAACGTATATAGTAGAAACATGAATCCTACCAGTATAATGTACAAAGCAGGAATCTATCTGGTAATGTGTTTACATTATTTTTATAGTATTGTTTTAATGAGTGATAAATTTAGTTTCATTAATTTTTGTTTTATTAATTTTTTATTTTTAATATAATATTTCCATCTTCAGTTGAACAGTGTGTTGTCTGGGTACAAATATCTTTGTTAACAATAATCAAAATGTGCAACATCATTTCTTACATTTATATTAATTCTACAATATTAAAATAGTAACATTCCACATATTAATTCTACAATATTAAAATAGTAATATTCAACATACTAATCATAATATTTACTTATCTCTTCTAACATATCTTCTTTATTTTGTTTCCCTGTTTCTGACTTCCATTTTTGCTATTTAACCATTGATAAAATAGATTGCATATCATATAGTTTTCTGTTTGCTCTTTCTCCTTAATTGCCAACGTTAATCTGTTCATTTCTGCACATTCTAGTATTTTCCTAATCTCATTCTCATCTGTAGATATCTCTTCACTGTTCCAACTTTGTGCAAGTACAATTCTAGCAGCAGTTAATATATGAATAAATAAATATGCATTTTCCTTAGTATATTTTTCAGGTAGAATCCCCAATAGAAATATTTCTGGTTTTAAATCAATATGCTTTATCATTTTTTCCAACCACATATGTATTTTTGTCCAATATTTTTTTGCTTTTGGGCAAGTCCACCACATATGATAATATGACCCAGGTATCTGGTGGCATTTCCAGCATTTAGCCGATTTATCTGTAAACAACTTTGCGAACCTCGCTGGTGCAAAATGCCACCTATAAAACATCTTATACAAATTTTCTTTGTAAGCAGTTGACATTGTTAATTTATAGTTCCTATCCCACAATTTTTGCCATTTGTCTAATTCAATTGTATAACCATTTTTCCCCATGCTATCATTGTTTTCTTTATTTGTTCATCCTCCAATTTAATGTATAGTAGGTAACTATACGTTTTTTAAAATCAATTTTTCTTCTGCTCTTATTAGTATCTTGTCTAGTTCTGTTAATTCTTTATAAAAACCATATACTTTTGCATTTTTCTCATATCTAGAATGTATTTGCACTTGTGAATACCATGTCATATCAATCCCTTGATTACTCAATTCTTGTTTATTTTTGAGCTCCCCCTTCTTATTCAAAATGTCTTTATAGCTAACAATATTTTCTATGTTAATGACATTTGGATGAACCAATGCTTCCATTGTTGAAAGCCAAACTGGTATCCTCAAATAATATTGTTCTCTGATTTTCTCTCACACTAGCAGTAATGCATTCCTAATATAATGCCTTTGAAAGTAACCATGTATTTTGTTTTTCCCATACCACAAGAAAGCATGCCAGCCCAATTGCAAATCATGTCCCTCCAAAGTCAATAACCTTCTGTTCTTCAGTACAATCTATTCATTCACCCAAGTGAGTACTGTAGCCTGATAATATAATTCCCAATTTGGTAACCTCCTCTATTTAGTTTCATTAATTTATACTGAAAAGAAAACGTCATTTTTGCAACATCAAACAACAAATATCGGGTTGATCTTAGGTGTTCATGAAACTATATTCAATATTATGAACATATATAGGAAGGACTTCATTTGTTGACACCAAATTTGACATTAAGAGCAGTAGTAAGATATTCTTACTACTGCTCTTAATGTCAAATTTGGTGTCAACAAATGAAGTCCTTCCTATATATGTTCATAATATTCTTACTACTGTTCTTAATGTCAAATTTGATAAGATATTCTTACTACTGATTAAATAGGAATAAGACATATTGCTGATTTATATTCTAAATCTACCTACTTCCACAACTTCCAGCGCTGTTGTTCCAGTTGATTTAGCAAGTAATCTATGTATTTATTTGAGTCCATGTACTCCTGCAGGAAAGAAAGAAAAAAATTAGTCAATTTTTGAAAGTCAAGAAGTGCTAGTAGATAAAAGTTTTTTAATAATTTTAAAATTGCCATTTTCTCTCTTTGTATGTACCCCTACAGTTAAAAGCAGCTTTGAGAAAGGGAAAAAGTAGCATTTAAATTGGGAAAATGACATAGGAAAGAAAATTGAATGGTCCACTAATTAGAGAGTTTCAATAAAATTTGGAGTCAAATGTCAACTTTAAAATAAAAATTAAAAACTCATGAAAGTCCCTCTGACCTATGCACAATATGATTAAATGGTAAAATTCACATAAATGCTCAGTTGCAATTCTCAAGGGGGCGGGGGGAGAGAGTTTTTCCCTGTGGTCATGTCTTGATTTTGATAACGATCTGAATTCCTTTGTGTTGTTTATGTTAAAAATTAATGCAAAACAGATCAATGGCAATTAGGGTGTTCTCTTATTCTGTTATATAATGATATTTAAAATACTTCAGTGAGATGACAATGGATATCACCGCTGCTAAGAAAAAAATCTGGGTTATGTGCAGTATATATAATCAAGATGATAGCACTTTCCCCTTGTTTTATTATCTAAAAACTCAAAATTCACCCCTCCCTTAGGAGAGCATATATTTTTGCATTCATTGATTGTCACGCTTTATTATTCCTTGAGAAGGTTTGCAGCTGTGGAATTATCCGTTTGTCCTCATAACTGAAGAGTGCAGGAAAGTCCAAGTCCATCAATAATGCAATATTCCCACACATCTTTTTTTCATGAAGATAATACGTTACAAGATGACAACTGTACCTTTTCTTTTCCTAGTGTTTCTCAGGAGGTTTCTCTGGCTTAGAATAGACTCTGAATTGAGGCTAGGTGTATTAATGCTGACACACCACCAGAAAGTGTTTTCAGGAGGACCAAAGAATTCTGAGGCATTTCTTATAAAAGAATAGAATAGAATTCCTTACTGGTCAAGTGTGATTGGACACACAAGGAATTTGTCTTGGTGCATATGCTCTCAGTGTAAAGAAAAGAAAAGATACATTCATTAAGAGTCAAGAATCATGAGGTACAACACTTAATAATAGTCATAGGGTACAATAAGCAATCAAATCATGCTAGGAAACAGTCAATAAAAATTGTTAGGATACAAGCAACAAATTTTGGTTTTGGATAACAAGATGGGATACATTGGGCGAGATGTTTCAGTCCATGAAAAGGATCTAATTAGGAAGAACAGCAAAGTTGATTATTGTGGCAGTTCACAACTGTGGCATCCCAACTACCTGTTTTGCTACCCTAATGAAATTAATAAAACAGATTTTATATATATATATATATATATATATATATATATATATATATATATATATATATATTGATTTGTCAGTCGCTTACAAGATAATAGGTATAAGTATATATATAGTTATAAATACATAAAATGGGTACATATAAGAAAAATAAAAGAAACAATAGGACAGGGACGGTAGGCACATTGGTGTGCTTATGCACGCCCCCTACAGACCTCTTAGGAAAGGGGTGAGGTCAATAGTAGACAGTCTAAGGTTAAAGTTTTTGGGTCTGGGGAAGAAACCACAGAGTCAGATAGAGTATTCCAGACATTGACCACTGTGTTGCCGAAGTTGTATTTCCTGCAATCAAGTTTGGTGCGATTAACCTTGAGTTTGTATCTATTGTGTGCTCTTGTGTTGTTATGGTTGAAGCTGAAGTATTCATTGACAGGTAAGTCATTGCAATGTATAATTTTATACACCATACTTAGATCAGACCGATGACGGCGTAATTCAAAGTTTCCTAAGTCTAGAATTTCAAGTCTGGTGGCATAAGGTATTCTAGAGGAGTGGAGAACTCTTCTTGTGAAATATTTCTGGACTTTCTCAACTGTGCTAATATCAGATACGTAATGTGGGTTCCAGACTGATGAGCTGTATTCAAGTATTGGTCTAGCAAATGTTTTGTATGCTCTAGTTAGTGGTGTGATATTACCAGAGAAAAAGCTACGGAGGATTAGGTTAACAACTCTAAATGCCTTTTTGGCTATGTAGTTACAGTGGGCTCTAGCACTTAGATCATTAGAGATGAGTATTCCAAGGTCCTTTACAGAGCTTGGATCATCAACAAGGTCTTGACTATTCAGATTGTATTTTATTTTCTGATTTTTTTTTGCCAATATGTAAGACAGAGCATTTATTTGTTGAGATTTGAAGCCATTTGTTTGACCATTCTGATACATAGTCAAGATCTTTTTGAAGGGTAGTAGTATTGTCTGTGGTATTGAACAGCTTTACATCATCAGCGAAGAGAACGCAGTTGCTCTTAATATGATCACAGAGGTCATTTATGTAGAATATGAAGAAAGTTGGTCCTAGAACACTGCCTTGGGGGACACCACTATTGACAGGTACAGAATTTGATAGGACGCTCCCAATTTTGACCATTTGTTGTCTGTTTGACAGGAATGCTTCTATCCAGTTATGCAGTTGTCCAGAGATACCATAAGATTTTATTTTTAGGAGTAGTTTGTCGTGTACCACTGAATCAAAGGCTTTACAGAAGTCTATGTAGATTGCGTCTATTGTTTTGCCCTGATCAAGTTGTATAGTCCATATGTTTTTGCAGTGTAAGAGTTGCAGATTACAGGATAGTTTTTTTCTGAAACCAAATTGTTTATTGGAGAGTAGGTTGTTTGTCTCTAAGTGGAGGATAATGGATTGGTTAATAATTGATTCCATGACTTTACAGGTTACACAGCATAAGGAGATTGGTCTGTAATTTTCAACTAGGCTGTATTACTATATGACCGTGATGGCGAACCTATGGCATACATGCCAGAAGTGGCATGCAGAGCCATTTCGGTCGGCATGCAAGAGGTCATCCGGAAGAACCCCACTGCGCATGCACATACACCCCCCGCCAGCCAGCTGATTGTTGGGTATCTGCCACGCATGTGCAGGGGGAGATGTGCGCATGCTTAGGGGGGGCATGCATGGGGAGGTAAATAAGATAAATAATTTATCTTATTTATCAAAGGAATATGAAATAAATCTGTTGGAAAAGGTACAAGGCATCTCTGATTGCAGACATTTACATATTGAGATTAAATAATCATATAAAAAAGAGAGTTCTGGACATTGTTTTCATAACAGAAGTGGAGGATGTTGAGGTAGGAGACTATTCTGAGAATTAAGCTTGTGAATATCTTACCTCTCAATTTTGTTAGAGCGTATGCTTCTATTTTATTGAATTACAGGCCCCAACTTCGTTTTGAAGCAACCATCCAAAGAAAGCATACAGGAATAAACCTGTTATTGGAAACCACGAGGGATCCTTGATGCTTTCTGAGCTTGGTTGTTTTCCTGCAGATGCTTCATTACCCAAACTAGGGAACATCATCAGTTGTAGCCCCCTGATTTCAAACCTGAACTACAAATATTATCCTTTATTGGAAACCGTGTAAGGTCTCCTACTTTGGCCTTTCCTTAGCACCCCTTGTCAAATCATAAGCAGTAAAATGTGGGCCTCAGTAAAATAAAATAAAAAATGCAACTTGGAATGGACAGGAACATTTCTAACTATTCTGTACCTCTCCCAAAAAGCCAGCGTCTAAATCAGTGTTGTGGTGTATGGTCATTATTATTGTCCGGTTCTATTTCTATGGATTTTTTTTAAAAAAAGGAAGAAAGAAAAAGTTTTCCTAATGCGAAGAAAGCAAGTAATACATTTCTCAGCCTTGCAAGGTAGCCCATACCAGAAGATTGCAAAGTTGCATTAACAGATTCTGGCCAGTCTAGAAATTTATTTTTATTTATTTATTTAATTTTATTTTTAGTTTGTCAAGCACATATGAGAAAAAAAGCCTAAGAATGAACATAACATATAAATGTATAAGTATAAACAGGTATAAGTATATACATAATAAATGAGTACGAATAAAAGGGGACAGTAGGACAGGGACAGTAGGCATGCTGGTGCGCTTATGCACACCCCCTTAAAGACCTCTCATTTCCCCCACCCCTCATCTTTACAGTCCAAAAAATCAGGGAGGGTGCCTTTTGAGATATTTGCCATCACACACACACAGACACACACAGACACACACACCACCACTACCTTTCCTTCTGCAGACTCGGCTGTTGGTCATCTGAGTGTTGACTGTGGTCTAGTCTGAGTCTCTTCCTCTTGTCTCCCGAGATCATCCCCAAACACCGTTACAAAATGATCTCAAATCCTTCCAAACTTTACATTCTAAACTGCTAGAAAATACTAATATTTTATACATGAAAGGTATTTTTAAAATGTTTACTGAGGTGTGAGCTACACAGCAGCCGTGTATGTGGCTGTGAGCTGCATTAGACATTTCAACATCATTGAGACAACCTGCCTGTTTGGAGGGAGGATAATAATAGACATTGTAATAATAAAACTCAGTTATTCAGACTGAAACAAAGACTTCTTATACTGTTGTAACCACAGGGAAAAGCTTATATAAAAGGGGCTTTACCTGTCACCCCAAATCCCGCCCTGAAATCTGTTTCCAAGAATGGCCCAAGATGAATGATCTGGGATGCAAACCAAACAGAAAATCCAAGCTAAGAAGCATGTTCATTTGCTGTTGGATCAACACTACAACCTAATCTTCCTTGGCTTACTGATTACTCCCCTCCTTCATTTTGATTTGTGTTACTATTCTTAATTGTATTTACCAAAATTAAATGTCATAGTCAGATGGTTTGCTCTGAAAAATTAGCAAAAGCCCAAAACCAAGGAATTTTACAAGCAGCTCACATTATGTTCCCGAAATGGAATTCCTTTTAATTTTGAACATAATCTTTTAAAACAAACAGTTGCAGCTGCTTTAAACAACATTTTACACCGAGTGCTTAGCCGATCATAATATTTCAACATTAGCATGTCACATTAAATCTCAGCAGAAAAGATTAAACCTGTTTTATAACTTCCATGTTGAATCACATTGTT